GGTAATGGCACCCACCATTCTTAATGATTTATAGCCAAAATAAGACTAATGGGAGACAATATTTACTCGACATGGTAATTCTTTGAATATTACTAATAATAACTTTTACACTAATGTTACATTGCCTAATTGACAGTTCATCCAACAAAGAACATAATTTTTGAGAAATACCCAAATTCACATTTAAAAATTGATCTTAAAGTATAAACTGTAGCCACTGATTTATCAACTGTGAAGAAACCTTAACTTGTTCATATTAGACATTCAGACACTTAATTATTTGAGCAGAAATTATTCCAGTAGAAAATCTGCACAGGATTCCACAGAGTTCGAAGTACAGATACAATGTGGGATTTCATTTTTGTAGACAGTGATATCTGTTTTATTTTATCTGTTTTATTTTAAACAGAAAAATATGGTTTACCTGCCAAGTGTAGTAAATTATGTTACCTCACCACTCTGAACTTGAGTGTTAGCTTTCACTGAACTTGTGGGCATGAGGAAATGTGAGCTTGAACTTGAATACCTCAAGTTGACTGAGAAGTCTGGTACATGGCAGTGGTAGTTGAACTATCTTAGAATCCATGGTTCCTGCTAACAGTAGCTAGAATGGTGGTGGAATTAAAATTCGTTTTCTCTTCACACATAAAATTTTAAGATTATAGAATGTACCTTTTAAATATCAGAATTACCAACTAAGAAGAAGCATTTGAAATCTGCAAATAAAACCACTACTTGTAATAGTGATTAAGGAATAATGAATCATGTATGGGGAAATAGCAGTGAAGTAGAGCTAATAGCAAAATTATTATTTTTTGGTCAGGATACCATAGAACTTCTAGATGATGTTTCTGGAAACCTGTAAGATATTAATCCCATTTCTTCCTAGGCTTTAAAATCATAAAATAAACACTACTTTATAATTTTGCAGGATGACCCAGTCAAGGCAATGATACCTTTCAGGCATGGATACACATGCCTACTAGTGTGACTTTCCTTTATCTTTTATTCAACATGAGAAGGAAGTAAGGGTAACAGTATCATACAGAGATTTTTTTTAAAAAATCTTATTTTTCCATTAATCACTAACAACTTTGGACATTTCACTCAGATAAAGTTGTTTCAGATGCTCTTTAAAGCCAAAGTTTACTTCCCTTTTTAGCAAAGCCTTTTGCTCATGGTGCTTCTGTTTTACCGGGTTCTCTACTTGATAATCTCAGGTTTGATGTCCTCAATCCATGTGAAAACTGTCAGAATTTCTTTCATTTTGTGTAATGAGTTTATTTGTTTACTTTTCTGAGACAAGATCTATGTTGCTCTTGTTGTCCTCAAGCTCTCGAACTTCTTTCCTTAGCTTCTCAAATGACAGTGTAACTGATGTGGACCAATGTATTAAATTTAAAACCATATGTGTAAGCTTGATCATGAGAATATATTATCCAGGCAGTTGAATGACATACGAAACTTCAGCTAGAAAACAAATGAAAGCAGTCTTTACATAGATTTGTATTTTAAGCATTTGTTATTTATTACCTAATTCACACAACAAACCTATGAGGTAGTTTAGCATGCCTTGAGTATGAGCAAATTAGGTAAGAAGCAGAAAAACAAAAACAAAAACAAAAAAAAACAAAAACTTTGTCCCCACAATAAAATATCAATCCGATCTTTCTTATTGTCACAAACGAAAAGCAATCAATTCCTTTGATAACTTGATCAAATCAAGAATGCATATTTATCTTTGATGGACAGTAGATAGTATAGTTATTTTAAATCACTTGGTGGTTTAGAAAGACTATTTTCTTTCTTAGGGCTTTAGGATTCTGTGTTTCCACTGATTTGTCAAAAATAAAGATAAGTTTTATAAGAAATGAGACTCCCCCTCCTCTACCTTTACTACCACAGCTCATTTCCTTATTTTGTGTGTATCTCATATTTTGTCTTCTGGTATTTGTTCTAATAAACTTACCCCAACAAAATGGTATAAAAATTCTTCCAAAGTATGTTTCTATGTCACCTGAGAGGTAAATGCAAAACAAATCCCAATAGTAGAGACATCTTTGATGACTTTCTATCAGCAGAAGGAGTCACCTGGTCTTGCTACTTAGCAGACTGCTTTATGGCCATGTTTATGAGTTCACTGGGCTGTGGAGACTGTATATAGGAAAGCTCATTAATTTGGGTTTTACTACCATGACATTTGTGGCCACTGAGACAGGTGCTAGTTTGAAGCTTATCTCTGCACTAAAGTGAAAGAACTTTTGGTAAAGCAAATTTGAATTTCACAACCAAGATTATAGAAGTAATTTGTTTCTTTAAGAAGACAGCCTACTGCTGGGTATGTATCTCAGTAGAGCATCTAAGTCTTGCATAAAAGGAAGAAGAAGAAGAAGAGGGGGAAGGTTAGTGGGAGGGGGAAGCGAAAGGAGGTGTAGGAGTTGGAAGTAAGGGGAAGGAGTGAAGGGTAGGAAGGAGAGGAAGAGGAAGGGAAAGGGAATGGGAGGGAGAGGAGCATCATAGGATGGAGAGGTGGGGGGAGGAGGTGACAAAACTGCTTCACTTAACAAGTGCTCTTTTAATAAAAGTTCACTCTGAATCCATTATGCTTGTGTGTTGTGTTAGTTTTAAATCATTTCCCTTCTGATGGCAACAACACTTCAAAGGGACAGTAATAACTTCAAATACTGTGGGATAGCAAAAATACTTTAAATATCAATAAGTGGGATAGTTTCTCTCTTTTAAATATATAAATTCTCCTAAGTTCTCTTGAATTGAGATTTTACAGAAAATTCCTTCAGTCCTCAGCTCTACCAGGGAAGCTCCAGCTCCGTGGGCTCTATGGGACAGGAATACAACAAGATCTGCATAGGTCCCTTCCTTCCCCAGCAGAATTAATCATTCGACAACATTTACCTTACCTCTTACTCCCTTCCACTCATAACACAACTGGAAAGTGAGGTATGACTTAATTAAGAACACAAAGCCATGCCAAAGCAAACCAAAACAGAATGAAAATCAGTTAGCTTCCCAAGTAGAAATGTTTCTATTCAAGACTTCCCAAAGTATAAACAGCATTTATGAGTGCTTTCTGAAGGTGTAAGCTGAGTATATGTTGTCCATATTACATTAGAATCCTAATTTCTCTTATCTGCATGGTAAAATTAAACAAAGAAATCTGAAAACAGTCCAAGAAACAAAGCTCAGGGTATTCAATTTCACTTGGCAAGTTACCAAAGAGCAACTGTTATTTAGACGAGGAACTCTGAAAAAAATCTGATTATTATAGCTGGAAGCTTATCTAAAGGGGTTTAGCTGAGCTTCTCTGTAAAGCAAAAGAAATCTATGTTCCTAGACTTTTATATATAAGGATTGTTTTTTCAAAAATATAAACATACAACACTTCAGGGCAAGAGCTCAGTTACTAAACACAAACAGTAATCAAGATTATATTTTTAACTCTGACAATGCTTATTTTACAGCAGAATTGACAAATAAAGCTTTATTTGACACATTAGAAGAAAAGCCATCACTGGAGGTGGGTAGCTCTGTTGTGTGCTTCTTTTCCAAACAGCAAAATAGATGCCTTCCCACCAAACCTTCCTTCCTTCCCGCAGGGTGCTCCCGGTGGTGTGGCGGCTTCTTTCTGCAGAAACAGGCAGTGCTGGTACCTCATGAGTGCACCCTCCTCCAGGGAATGGTGCCAGATCTACACATGGGAAAACAGGCACCTTAATAACAACTCTGTGCATTTCTGTCATTTTGTTTATTGCTCACTGTATTGTAACAACCCCAGTTCTCTGTGAAAACAGTGGATGTTCAGAAACTCCTGACATTCGCGGATCAGCTGCCAGCAGTCACAAGGTGCAAAGGGCAGTACCAGGCCTTCATAGTTGGTACATGGAGAGCATCTTGCATACAAGCTCCATGACCTTATTTGCAAGACACACTGTAAGATACCACCAACTCCAGTCACCACAGAGAAGAATTAAACCTAGAGAAAACTTTCTGATGGCACTCAGAGATGATCCCATCAAAAAGTAACCAACAGTTCTCCAGGCTGGGGGCGGGGTGTGTGTGCATTCTCAAGTCTGCATCTTGGCTCAGCAACAGGATTTCAGTGAGAGCAGGAGAAACAGGGGACTTTACTTCCCCCAAGGCTGCAGTTTCTTCTGGATTTATTCACTTCTGTCCAATTTATTAGTGCTTCCTAATTAAAGCCCACAAATCAGGCCAATATCATGAGATGGAAGTATTCATCTCATTCTGAGGTTTATAATTCTTCTTTTGGATGCCTTTTGGAAAAACATTTTTACCAAAGTCAACTGCTAAGAAGACATTTTTACCTAAGAGGATCATCATGCAAGCAAACTAATTCTTTTCCTAAGCTATGATTTGGCAGCTTGCAAACAGACTTGCCATAACCTGGAGAAACTGTCGAATGTCAGAAGGAAAAGATGGCCCTTCCCTCCTGCTTCCTCCCTGATCTTGACCTCTCCTCACGTCCATGGCAAGCCCAGTTCTTGTGTTGAAGGTGAAGGACTGTTATGTGTCCATTGTATATCTTCCACAAATAGTGACTTGTTCAGTTTCTGTGCTAGTTGTCAGCAGCCATATCCAATGTGATGATAAAAGGAGTTTATTTCTGAATAGAGGTGTTTTGCATCACAATCAGCAAGGATTTCCTGGAATAATTATATACTAAGAAAAATCTAGAGTAAATTGGAAATTAAAAAGTTTCCACTCTTTGTAAGTTTGAATAATGCTCCAAGTATTTGCTACAGATTATGATTTAGAACATGTGCTAAATATGTCATCAGTAAAGAACTTTTAAAAATCTATCCAAATATGATAATTTGCCACAAAATTAAAATAAAGAAAGAAATCTTGTTCACTTTTGGAAATCAAGATTAGTCGTGTGTGAATCGGTGAATCCTTGTAGTAAATATTCATTGTTCAAGAAAGGATCTTCCCCGGTGGCTGATGAACAAGTCTCCACAGCAGAGAAACACTGGCCTCTTCTAAACTCTTGATTGTTGTCTTTACTACTTATTCTTCAGGCTAGAAGAAAAGAAGGGAGACAATTTACCTTCCTTCAAAATTATACATTCCATCAACCTTTGCTCTCTCCCTACCTCCCCAATGCACATCAATTCAACCATCAAATTTAAATAGAGCTGGATTTATATGGTGAATTTATATGTGTGTATAATAATTCAATTACCAGTGCCCTCTGTATGTATGCAGAAAAGAATTTAGATCTGTACACTGTCAATTCAGACTCTAAATCCATTTCAAATGTTCTTAAGATACAAACAATAATTTCATTTCTACTTATGTTGTATTGCATTGGGTATCACACTGTGACAGATCCCCTTCCTGTGCTCAGGGAACAACTCTATAGCACTTTACATTTCAAATTGACATTTGTATTCATTTGGTATTCTTTCAGAATTTTCCTTGTTAGAAAATCTTCCTCAAAAAATACTGATCAAGGGGCTGGGAAGGTGGCTCAGTGGTAGAGTGCTTGCCTTGCATGCCTGAGGCCCTGGGTTTAATTCCTCAGCACCACATAAGCAAAAAGAAAAAATCTGGAAATGGCGCTGTGGCTCAAGTGGTAGAGCACTAGCCTTGAGCTGAAGAGCTGAGGGACAGCACCCAGGCCCAGAGTTCAGGCCCCACGACCAGACCCCGCGCCTCCTCCCCCCCAGAAAAAAAATACTGATCAAGCAGACTTTCATCTGCAATTAACCAGCAAAAAAAATCTAGAAATGGAGGTATGGCTCCAGTGATAGAATATCAGCCTTAAAAAAAAAGTCAAGAAAGAGGGAGAGTTCAGTCCCCAGTACAAAAAACATATTGACCATTAAACTGATGACCAATTAGCAAAGAATCCTCTCTTCCTCCTTCCCTCTTTTCCTCCCTCCCCCTCTCATTTTATAGCTGGTGCCATACCATCTGAACCACACCTCTGCTTCTGGTTTTGTCCTAGTTAATTTCATTGAGTATCTCTGGAACTCAGAACTCTCTGTAACTATGATCCTCAGATCTCAACCTCCTGAGTAGCTACAATTATAGGCATGAGTCGTCTTTAAGTAGTTGTACAAAGGAGTTCCATTCAACAACAGTTTAGGAATACAGAGTATCTTCATCAGTGTCACTTTTTCATCATTCTCTCCATCCCTCAATTTTCTTAATTTTGTAGGATATGCATTGAATTTTATGCCTGCATTCTGCCCTCTGCCCTTCCGCTCTTATTTCATCTCCCCTATCCCCTTGGTCCTCACGTATTATTTTGTTGGAGTGTGAGTTAGACTTTCTAAGGAATCACACAATTCATGCTCTCCCCTGAATCATAAGAAAATGCTTTGGTTTTGATATGCTTGGACTGGAGACCCCTCGAAGACCACCAGAGACCAAGATCAATGTCACCAGCGAAAGAGTCATTTATTGCAAGCTCCAGCTTGGTCCTCCGCGCACCAGGTAACTGGTGAAGGCTAAGAGACCCCGAGCCCCAGGGTTACAGCACTTTTTATACACTTTTTAGGGAGGGCAGAGACTTTGCATACTTCATAGCATCTTGTAATATATCACTACACATTGCGGGAAAGTCATAAAACAATTCTATAATATAATTGGTGCACTACAAAGCGGAAAAGGACCAGAAACAGGTTGTTAGTTAGATCAAGGGGCTGATGTACTTTAAACTGGTTGGCTCCCACCACAGGGGAGTCCCAAGGAGAAACATGCTGAACTGCAGGGTTCCTTTCTCAAACAAACACCACCTGTAGCCTGACAGCTGGGTCACCACGCCCTTCAGCACCTGCCTGCGGTTTTCCCAAGGATTGTTTATGTTCCTAGTCGCCCGGGAATTGCTTCTTCTGTTCATTCCCAGGTTGGGCTCACGGTCAGCTGCATAACTCATGCCTCAGAAGATGATCGCTAGCTCAAGATGAAGTCACCCAGGCCTCAGGCTCCTCAATTTATTGCTATCTACTATAAGTCAGGAAATTTATATTGTACCATCACTTAATCCCCACAGCCACATTTAATGTGTGAGCCATTGTCCCCAACTTAAAGGTGAGAACACTGAGCTTTAAATTTGCAAAATTAATTAATGAATGGCACATATCATACAGTTGGTAAGAGGTAGATGAATGATGAAAAACTCAAAAGCAGAAGAGCACATTCACCTACATGCAGCACGGATTTTTCCAACAATCCCTGGGCTCTTGTTGTAAGGATGATGAATTTTGGGGAGGAGGTGGGGCAAATATGCTGGAGGAAGTTAGAATCCTCTGAGATATTTTTGCCCTTTGTCACCAAAATCCAAATATCTTAAGACATCTGGATGAATGAAACTTGAATCTCCAAAAGGGAATTCTATTATCTATCTAGACACACACAGCATATCTTAAAACCTCATTTTCAGGAAAAGTGCTGTCACTAAATATTCCTGAGATCAGAATAAAAATTTGAATTCTGTAGGGATAATGCAGACCAAAAGAAAATACTACTATATTAATTTTAAAAAGAGCTTTTAAATTTTGCCTTGGGAATGACCTGGGAACCACACTCACTATTTCATAGAATGTAGGTTTCAAAAAAAGTCCTGTTTTAGAATCTCATATTGGGTTTCTTCACTATTCGGTCATGACCTAAGGAAATTGAACAGTCATTGTCATCTTCATAAATTAATGTGACATAAAGGTTGGAAGTTCACACAGAGCAAACAGCTATGATTCCATTTCATGAACTGCAAAGCCAAACACTTTTTACATGAAAATGAGTTGAGAACACAACATCTATGTATGGCCAGGCAGAGTGGGACAATATTGTGTTAAGATTAAATCACACGGGAAGGGATTTTTGTTTTGTTTTAACATAGTAAAAGTGATATAATAAGAACTTAGACCCTCAATGAAAAACATAACATTGGATTCTTTTTCATCGCTAAATATTCATATCATTTCAGAATACACAGAAGTTATTCACCCCTTTCTGTTATCATGATTGGAATGGCTCCCTTATATTTTAGCCTGTATCACATTCGATACAAAAGAACATGGGTAATTTTACTGCTATTCATAAATATGCAGTCATCCAATCCAAGAAGAAAATTCTTTTCCATCTGAGCATTAAGCTGCATAATTTATAGATTTTCAGAATTTGCTCTAAATAGAAAACTGAAAAAGACAAAGAAAAAAGAGGCCATTGCATTGTTTCTATTTGTGGTGAGGGAAAGTCTTTGTTCTCAGTTTTAAATTTGATTCTATTGAGAGGAGTTTATTGCATCCTGTGCATTCCTATCGTATTTTCACCTAATTTTCAATATGTGTCACCATAGCTATGTTGACCACATGGTCTCTATTTCATATCTGTTATCATTTATAAAACATTATTACTAGATGGTAATAGGAAATTCTCTTGGGATCCTCAGTTGGAATGAATAGCTATACCTGCCCTCAGGAGAAGTTTCTATGTCAGGCAACTGTAGGGCAAAGTCTAACTCTTGTGAATGCTAACCTCCCCTGGAGTTCTGGCCATGCAGAGATGATGATGGCCTTCAGATTAGAATCACACCTGCTGTAATCTCCTGCTCTTGCCACTATATCTCCCTTTGTCATCCAGAAAAGAGGATGTGTGCCAGTCTGGATAACAGACAGAAGCCTGAATTTACACTAGGAAGCACCACTAAAACCATTCCACCTTTGAATAGGACCAGAAATGTGAGCCATCCTCCTGAGATTTAACCAAGGGGAAGATGGGTAGGTAGATAAAGCATCTAATAAAAGGCATGGCTAGGTAAATCAGTAAATTTTTTCCACACTAAATTTAAGTTTTCGACAAGTCAGTTCTAAAAGAAAGCAGAGAATCCTCAGCCATTATAAACTCAAGCTTCTAGTAGCCAGAGAGCACATTAACTGGATCTGAAAGACTGCCTACATGGACCACAGCTCATTAGAACTAATATGGGCCAATTTTATTAGATTGAGATGAGTCATGTTTCAGGCATTTCCACAACCACATGCAAGCCAGTCTTGACTTTCAACTTGTTAACCTTAGCTTGAAAAGTGAATGACACCCAATGCTTGATTTGGTTACAATGGTACAATGATAAACGAAAATAAATTATATTTACAAAACTGAATGTTTCCCAATCTCCATTCTTTTTTTCCTCTGTATCCCCTAAAGACAAAAAGTCAGATTTTTTTTCTAGTCTACTTTTTCTTAACCTATGACTAATGAATCACACATCTGTTTGTCTCCTTGTTCATATCAAAGGATTCTCTTTTCTATGTGATCTCTGGCCCATGCCCAGGGCCTTGATGTTGCACTGAGGTTTTGCCTTTGCAAGCATCTCTGTGTATATCACACTGGTGTTCCAGTGCTTCCCTGGGCACCCATCATATCTATGAAAAGAGGAAAAGAAATGTCTTCAGGTAGCACACTAAGGTCGCTGATGACATGATGCTTCTTTTCCAGGGCCAATTTTCTGTCAGTGATCCCTTCAGTATTCTCCATCACCTCCATGATTCTGGAGAACTTTATCAGATTCCTGAACTTGCCATGTGCTGCTTCAGTTCACACAGGCTGTTCCTTCTCCCCCAGAAACTCACTTTGGTCCTTTCACTTTCCTGTTCCTTCTCATTTCTCAGTGCAAGTATGCTTCCTCTAGCTTTCATGTCCTAAATTTACCCTGACACACAGCAAAATGGGAATGGAGAGCCAAATCTTAAGAAAATAACCAAGTTATAGGAGGCGTTAGTAAACAGCTTAAGACAGAGGTCCCATTATGTTATTTCTGAGAAGGCTGACTGCCCAACAAGTCAAAGGGGTTGTAGAGCAAAGGGGAGCAGATAAAATGTGGGAGGAGAAAGCTAGAGGGCGTGGGGTGGGGAGGTGGTGTTCTATTATGCATGGTACTGCCTATGAATGACACTCAAATCTTTTTATACATTTTTATTGTAAAAATACTATACAGAGGGGTTACAGTTACATTAGCAAGGTAATGAGTACATTTCCTATCAAGCATTGTTACCTCCTCCTTTGTTTTTCCC